GCTGTCAACCATGCTCTGTGCAGGCAGTTTAAAGCACAGTGGGCATCTGGATCTTTAAAGGAAATGGTACCGTCCTAAGTGTCATTAAATGAGTTCTTCAGGGAGGGCAGTAACAGTGTGCCATCTGATTGCTTTGTTCAGAAGTTCTTTCTGACTGAGTTAACCTACTACAGATGCTGTTCTTTGCTACATAACCTCATGACTGCCAGTCCTTGCTAGGAAGTGGCTTTTCACGATGGCTTGCTGGTATGTGTGTACATGGGAGGAAGAGGCTGGGTATAGGCGGAAAGAGCCCCAGAACAGAATCAAGCTCCTGCCAACCTGCTCCCAGCCTCCAGCACACTGTTGTGTCCTTTTATGCTGTGTATGTTTATTTTGTAGGGGAGTGGGTGGGTACAACTGTAGTACCCCCTGCCTTTGTAAAACAGGTCCAAATCTCATAGAATTCTATTAGAAAATCATTCTGCAACATATCTTAATTTTCTGAAAGTATTTTATCTTTTGACCACCAAAACCTCTTTGGAAAGAATTAAAATGAAAAAATGTGTCAATGAGTACATCTCTAAATTAAACCATTTCGGCCTGAACAGACCAAATTAGCTTTTTCTGCAGTACAGAGTACAGTATGTTGGCTCTGGTCTTTGTTCTTCAGTGAAAGATTTCAGAGGGGAAAACTATTCCAGAGTGAATAACCTCCAAATGTTAATCTTGCAAAACTAATACTAGTGACTCATTAATACTTGTAAATCATCTAGATTTTGCTATTTCGAAAAACAAACCCCAGGAAGTGCTAATAAAAGATACCATGTCTTATTAACGTTCATATAATAATTACCAAGATCACAAATCCGTCTGTTAAGTAGTCAGCAAACAAGACAAATGACTGTGCTCAGCTGAACAGATTATCAAATGCCTTTGGGAGTACACCCTAGTCGCCCCAACTAAACCGTCAATCAAGCGGCTACTCCTTTTGCCACACGGACAGGCAACAACAATTTCATCTCCCATGTGAGGCGGGACAGAACAGTGGAGACATCCAGCAACTCGCCTTCCCTAGAGCTCACGTGCTTATGCAAGTGTCAGCAATCCTCATGTATCTTTCTCTGACAACCTTTGTACTGACACTTAAGATTTCATTTCTTAGAAAGACATGAGAAAAGACTCAAAAGATGTCACCTAAAGTTAAACATAATCCCACTAGCTTCTGCATGTAAAATGTATAGTGGTGAGGCTCCTCAACTCTCAACATGGAGAAGACATTTCATCTTCCTGTGAACTTCCATATCAGTTCATCTCTACTTCTCTTCTGACACTCATTAACTGTACACATTCCACACGTCCTCCCCTATCAAGACATCTTAAGAACAGAGACCATTCAGGTATAACAACTACTACTATTACTATTAATTATTATTGAGATGCCTACCATTTCTTACAAGTGTGCAAGTCACTTGGATGAGTGCATTCATTTATTTGACTTTTAATTCTTTTTGCCATTTAATATTTACCACAGCCACTTAAGGTAGGCATGTCCTCACTTTACCGTGAGGCAACTGAGGCTCAAAGAAGCTGAATGACAGAGCTGGGATTCATTCCTAGGTCTGAAAGATTCTAAGGCCTTTGCTAAATTGTATGCTAAACTGTACCTATGCTAAACTGTTCCTATCCAATATGGTGCCTAGTTCAAGGCTAAGTACATAGCAGACATTGATAAATGTTGGTAGAATGAATGAATATCTTACTATCAATTAGTTCTTGCATCCTCTTGGTAGTTAAGGTTAAACCTTTGCAGTTTCTGCTTTTCTGCTTTTTTTTTTCCAAGCATGCATGATATCAAGGATTATTGTTAGTACTGTATATCTGAAAATGTCAATAAAAGCTCCCCTTACCTTTTTTATATTTGAAAATAAACACCTCTCCAGGACTCTATCTCCTAGTTCAGAGTCTTCCAGGATGATATTCACTGTTGGACACATCTGATGGCTTTTCATTTGTATTGGTGTTACTCACATGTTGGACCGTAAATTAGATGGTAGGAGGGAGCCTAGTGTTCTCGACACCTCCTCCCCAGCTCTCTTCAACATTCTAGGCTCCACAGCACATGGGGCAGGGAGCTCAGGGTCTGGTGGCCACTGACTTCACAATAGTCAATGTTTCCTCTTGGTGGGGTAATGAGCTTTTACTAGTTTAACCCTCTCAGCACACAGCAGTCTTCCACTGTCCTGGTAACAGTACCTTTATCATATAGCCCATGTGCTTGGAGGAAGTACACCCTACTCTCAGTTCTAGAGTAGAACTCTGGGTGGTTTAAGCCCATCAACACATCCCATTGGCTTTGCTGCAGTGATTAGTTCAAATCAGAAGATTCAGTTTAGGCCAACGAGAAACAAGGAGGTGTTTGCTGCGGCTTCTGGAAAAAAAATGCTTCCTGGCTCAGAGAACTGTGAGGGAAGAGGGTCTCTCTTCTTGTTGGACATTTATGTAGAACAAGAAAGTTCCAGAAGAGACTGGAAATAATTTTGGAAGTTTATAACAGAATCCAGTTTTAGGATTAAACGAGATGTCATAGAAAGTCAAGAAGAAAATGGAAAAAATATTACATTTGATGACATAGGTGAGGCATGTAATCAAGCCTTGCTCCAAAGCTTTGACAGTTCCAGGTTTTTCAGCTACATGAGAATCTAAATTTCTTTTTTTTTGTTTAGCCTGTTTTGAGTCAGATTTTCTCTAACCTGAAATTAAAAGATTCTCAGTATGCCTAGGTGATAACGTTGATTGTTTCATGCTCGTCCTCATATTCACTTTTCTTTTTTTTTCCAGAAAAACAAGCATGACAGAGGTCTGAAAGCACAGCGGGGACCACTTACTAGCTCATCACAAACTTGAAGCAGGCAAAATGTACCTGTCAGAGCCTAAGTATAACTGGATTGGATGATGTATGGCCATGACCTTCCACCAGAGTGCTCTCCAGTCTGTTTGACACTAGTGAACTGTGTTGCAGTCAGTTCTCTCTACGGTAGTCACAAAGCCTAATTATGAAAACATGTTGAGATCACTGTACTGTTAGATCATTGCACCACTGGCATTCCTAACAAACAGATCAGCTTAGCCCAGCACAATCCCTAGTGGGATTGTGGGAAACCCTTCTTGGGTTTCATATATATTAAACATTTTCAAATGAATTAATGAATGATAGGAGTGTAAATTAGTTCAGCCATTATTGAAGACAGTGTGGCAATCCCTCGAAGACCTAAAGACAAAAATACCATTTGACCCAGCAACCCTGTTACTGGGTGTATGCCCAAAAGAACATACATTATTCTATTATAAAGACACACACACACACATATGTTTATTGCAGCACTGTTCACAATAGTAAACACATGAAATCAACCCAGAGGCCCATCAATGATGGACTGTATGAAGAAAATGTGGTACATATACACCACGGAATACTATACAGCCATAGACAAGAAGAAATGATAGTTCGTTCCTTTGTAGGGACATAGATGGAGTTGAAGGCCATTATCCTTAACAAACAAACTAACCTTAGTTTTAATCATTTAGCTCCCACTTATGAGAACATGCTGTATTTGAACAGAAAACCACATACAGCATGTTCTCATAAGTGAAAGCTAAATGATGAAAACACATGTACTCATAGAGGGGAACAACACACACTGGGGACTTTTGGGGGATTGACAGTGGGAAGAGGGAGAGGATCAGGAAAAATAACTAATGGGTACTAGACTTAATACCTGGTGATGAAATAATCTGTACAACAAATCCGCATGACACAAGTTTACCTGTGTAACAAACTGCACTTGTGCCTGTAAACTTAAAAGTTAAAGAAAATATCAGCTGCTTAGATAATGATGTTCTTCTCTGAGACCCCCATGCCACCTTTGCTTACAAGGACAACTTCAACTGAAAAGTACAAAGTCAGCACAAATAAGGAAATTACAGGTTTCAATGCAAAACAATCTGCACCCAAGTATAACGGAAGCTGTCTCAAGTTGAGTTAACAGCTTGGATCTGGTCTGTTGGACTTGTTGTCCTGAAGGATGGGCCCATCCCAAGTACTGAAGATTTTGGATATAAGGATAAGAAAGCAGAGGACAACAGGGAGACAGCAAAGGGGCTTTATCCAGAGAGTGAGAAAATGTGATACAGTAACCTCTTGCTTTTTATTAGGGGCAGCTTCATGGATGAACAACTTGTATATTTCACACAGCACCCTGTGCTCAGAAGGGCATCCTTGTTTAGCTACTGATCTGCTTTCACCATAATGAAATTTGAAATACTTTTTCAGCAAGGGTTCATACATTTCCATTTTGCTTTGTGTCCAGAATCATGTAGACCATCCTCCTTGTTACAGATTTTTAGTTCCCTTTTTACTAAAAAATCACACAGGAGCAAAAAGAATAACAATTCTACCAAAGACCTGCCTTAGATTTTCTGTCTTTTGTCTTTTTTGACTATCTGTTCCTCCTTGATTGCTTTCTTTGTGTTGAACAAATATTTTTAGTGTGCCATTTAAATTATCCTCTTAATGTACTATATTTTCATGTTTTTTTCTTAATAGCTGCTTTAGGATTACAATATGCATTTTAATGTATCATGATCTTCTTTTGGTTAACAGTAATTTAACTCCAGAAAATACATGAACTTTGCTCCAATATAGTGCCATTCCCTCCTCCCTCCTTTGTGCTATTACTGTCCTACTGTCCTAGACATTAAATCTATACATGTTATAAACACAACACTACAATGTTAAAATCACTGTTTCACCCAATTCTATGTCTTTTAAAGAAATTGGGAAAAGCGACAAAAAATATATTTTATGGGATCTTTTACACTAACTCACATATTAATCATTTGCAGCGCTCTTCATTTTTTCCTGTGGATTTGTGTTATCTTAGAGTACCATTTCCTGAAGGTCTTCCTTCCTTTAGTACATCTTATAAAACAGGGCTGCTTAGCAATATATTTGCTCAGTCTTTATTAATCTGAAAATGTCCTTATTTTGCCCTCATTTTTGAAGGATAGTTCTGTTAGATACAGAATTCTTCTTTGACATTATTTTCTTTCTGCACTATGGATGTGCCATTCTTCTGCCTTCTGGCATCCATGGTTTTAGATGAGAAGCCAGCTTAATTACCTAGATGCTCACCTTTCTGTGATGACTGCTATTCTTGCTGCTTTCAAGATTTTCTCTTTGGATTTGTGTTCAATAGTTTGACAATGCTGTGTTAAAGTGTGGATCTATTTGTGTTTATCCTGCTTGGGTTTCTTTCAGCTTCTTGGGTGTATAGATTAATTTTCTAAAAAATCAAATTTTGGAAGTTTTGGCCATTATTTTTTCAAATAGGGTCCCTTTCTCTTCTCTCCTTCCAACATTCCCCTGATGTTGTTGTTTCTGTGCTTAAGCTTGTCCCATAGATTTCTGAGGGTCTGTTTATTTTACTGCAGTCTGTTTTCTCACTATTCTCTAGATTGAGTAATTTCTATTGATTTATAGTTCACTGATTCCTTCTTTTCTCTCAAACCTGCTATTGAACTCCCTAGTGAATTTTTTTTTAATTACAGTTATTTACTCTTTAGCTACAGAATTTTCACTTGGTATTTTTTAATAAATTCAGTATCCTTATTAAGAATCTATTTGTTGATCTCTTATTACCCCACTTTTCCTTAATTCTTTAAACATGGTTTGCTTTAGTTCTTTGGAAATATTTGCAATAGCTGCTTTGAAATCTTTGTCCACAAATATTTGGCAATACTCACAGAGTTTCTATTAACTGGTTTTCTTTTCTTGAGAATGGGCCACACTTTCTTTTCCTAAAAATGAGATATTTAAGATAACACAGTGCAACTACTCTGAATTCTGATATTTATTTCCCTTGATGGTGGTTGTTGCTAGTATTTTGTTTGTAACTTGCCTGGACTAAATCTGTGAAATCTGTTTCCCCTAGGCTAGTAATGCCTATGCTAATTTAAACTATATATACATTCCTGATTTTATTTTTAAATTTGGCTTGCTACAGGTTGCTCCTGTGTCTGTATAGCCTTAGTGCTCAGCTCATGATTGAACATCATTTATGTTCAAACACCTTAAAACACTAAAATTTCTATCCTTTGCCCTTTTTCACCTATTCCTAGGTAGAGGAGCATATACAAAGTTCAGGTTTTTTCCAAGATCCCCCGAGTCTGGTATCTGCTAGACCCGTTTGAGTATCCTATGCACAAGCATAGAGATTTTGGATTAACCAGAAGCATATAAGGGGCTTGTGTCTCTTCAGTCTCCACTGCCCATATGCACAGCCTCAGCCAGTAATGTGCTATCTCTGACCACAACTGCAACTTCAGGCTGGTGGAGCTGATGGTCTTCCCAACTCACTTCCGTCCAAGATTATCATTTCTACTGGCAACTTTGCTTGGTGTCTGCACCGCCCAGCTCTTCAAACTGGTTGAGTCTCCTTCAACATCTACAGAGAAGCTACTGGTCATCATGGCTTGCTGTACCTTGGCAGAACCTATAGGCTGGGCTGAGATGGATGGGAGGAGCCCTAGTCAGAACATCTCAGATTCCCACTGTTCCTGAGTGATGTCCCATGGTTTTTAAAGGACAAACACTTCTCAGGTTGTTGTATGCCTTTGGTTGATTTCCAGAGCCCAAATAGTTGAAGTTTCCAACTTTTCTCAGTTCTATCATTGCATTTTGGGAAGACGATTTACCCGACTTCCTTTTAGCCAGAGTCATAGCTAAAAGTCCACTCTTTGCCTTGGGTTTTGACTTTTCTTTCTCTTCTTCCTTCATTGTTCCCTTTCATACACTTAAATCCAACACATGCTAGTGGCTCTAGAGCAATAAAATCTTTCTTGCATATGTAAGATAATTTCAGCAACAGATCATATAGTATTTTTTTTTTTTTTTTTGAGTCGGAGTTTCGCTCTTGTTGCCCAGGCTGGAGTGCAATGGCGCGATCTTGGCTCACCGCAACCTCCGCCTCCTGGGTTCAGGCAATTCTCCTGCCTCAGCCTCCTGAGTAGCTGGGATTACAGGCACGCGCCACCATGCCCAGCTAATTTTTTGTAGTTTTAGTAGAGACGGGGTTTCACCATTTTGACCAGGATGGTCTCGACCTCATGATCCACCCGCCTCGGCCTCCCAAAGTGCTGGGATTACAGGCGTGAGCCACCGCGCCCGGCCATATAGTATTTTTAATAGAAATCAGACAGATTAATTTGCAGCAAGTCGAAAGCATTCAATGAACTCTCTAAACACCACTTGCCATCTATCCTTAAGCTTGTGGCTATTCCTGCAGACAAAGAGCGGTGGATATCTGATGCTGCCCCATGCTATCACTCTTGTCACACCTCTATCACACATTACTAAATGATTGTGACTTTCTTCACCATTAAACCTAGGCATGGTCTCAGAACCTTCCACAGACAGAACTCCAGGCAGCCATTATGTGGTTCAGAAGATGAGATCTCATAGCCATACCTTCTTCAAGTTCCCAAAGCCGAAATGTAAAATTCATCACACTATCTGCTGTGCTTCCACATATTGGTCAAGGCTTGGGATTGGTTTCCTGAGGAACATGTCTTTTTTTACTTGTGCCTCAAGCACAGCTCCTGTGACGGCTTTTCTTTTGAACCGTTGCACTTATTCCTTTGGTGATTTCATCCAGTTTCATGATTTTAAATCCCATCTATTTATTGGCCCTTTTCAGGTTTATATTTTTTAGATCAAATCTCTCCCCCAAACTCCAACTCTATATGCCATCTCCACTTGGAAATCTGAAGGACACCTCTAAGTCACCATACCCCACACTGAACTGTTTTGAATATGGTGAGGAAACTGAACTGAACTGAACTGAACTGAAGCGGGAGAATTGACCAGCCTGTTTTGAATAGGCTTCCCAGATCAAGGTGGTAATCTTTTCTCCCCACCATCCACAAGAAGGGGAGTGGGATTAGGTGGACATGAATTGTCAACTCAGAGGATAAGAAAATATGAATTAAAAATGCAAAAGAAGAGGTTTGTACTGGGATTCATTGACACTGTGGTTTCTCCCGAACCCCGATGCTCTTATTCTTGTTGAAGCCCAAACTCATTTCTCTTTGTTGATATTAGAATTTTATGTCTAAAATTTCTTTTTTTATGTATTCTTACCCCCCTTTCTCTTTTTGGAATGCAGAAATCAGTCTCTTGGCTATAGCTAAACATCCAGGAGAATGCTCAGCAAATACCACATGCTATTATTACTTTTAACTTGCAAAAGTTTAGTTGTTTACCGTATTATCATTAAGTCTTTTCCAGACATAAAGCACTCCTCACATGTCCAGTGAATGTAAATTCTCACTGGTGTTCATTTGACCTTGCCAAACTAGCCTGAACATTCTGTCCACTATTGTGCAACGGATAATTTTTTTTTAGTGCTCTTCTCAATGACTATAGTTGAAAGGAGGAGACAGTGATATCTCTGTAACCCAAGCCAGAGCTTCTGCAATAATACATTGGCAAGTAACAATGTGATGAAAATGTTTTATGTGGGCATGCTTTTGTTTCCCATCTTAGTGTTTCTGAGAGCAGATCCAGCCTGCTCATTATTCTCCTGCTACACAATGGGAAATGGAGGTAAGAAGATTGCTGACCGCCCTGCAGGTTTGAGACAACATTTCTTAAGAATGCTAGCTCACAACAGGCCTCCTTGGAAATGTCCAGAAACAGCACCCTCTCTCAATAATCTCTGCTTTCTAAACGGGCAGTGCTTTTTTGATCAACTGAACTGAAGTCAAGGGTACCTATAGTACCAATTCAAAGATTCAGGGGTCGATTGTTTGCCTATAGAGATTTACTCAGATGTCACCTTCCTTCTTTCTTGGTTTTTAAGGCATTTCATTATTCCTAGCTACTCTAGCCAAGGGTAAACAAGAGGTACTGTGAGGAAAATTTAGGCCACTTTTGGCTTCTTATTAGCAGGTATGGGGAAAACCTGGGAGTAACCTGGGTAAATAGTAGAAAGGACTGAAATTGTCCAAAGTGAGGTTTGAGAAATATCTATGGGTTCTAATTAGCCCCACGTTAGCTTATTCTTTCCATATCATAGTTTATAGTGAGTTGACTTTAAACAGAAAACACCTCTTAATTCTCTTAACAGCTAATAAAGAAATTACTTTCCTATATAATTTAGAAGACTAATTTAGAAGATAATTGTGTGTCAGTGCACGCATGGGTATATGTGTGTATACATGCACATGTGTAAGTGAATGGATAAATCCAGACATTTTTCCCCCAACCTCCAGCAGCAAATCCATGTCTGGTCATCAGAAATAATATGTGATGTTTTCTATCATTCTTCCTGAAGCACCAGGAGAATTTCAAACTCTGAACCTTCCTTAGTACGTTTGAACTGAATTGTTTATATTGGCCCACTTATTTGTTAACTATTCACAACACATCACTCCTTTTTGTTTGTTTGTTTTCCTTAAATTAGGTCAAAATCATCTCCAGGGAACTGGGATTCTCAAATTCAAGGCCTATTGTATTCTAGGGTTTATCAAGTTATCAGCCTGTCCCTCAGCTTTTTATCCTGGTTTTAAGGGATGATCTGAATTACCTGAAATATTAAATTGATATGGTTTGGCTGTGTCCTCACCCAAATCTCATCTTGAATGGTAGTTCCCATAATTCCCACATGTCACAGGAGGGGCCCAGTGGGAGGTAATTGACTCATAGTTGTGGTTACCCCAATACTGCTGTTCTGGTGATAGTGAGTGAGTTCTCAGGAGATCTCATGATTTCAAAAGGAGCTTTTCCCCCTTCTACTTGGCACTTTTTCTTGTCTGCTACCATGTAAGACATGCCTTTGCTTCTCCTTTGCCCTCTGCCATGACTGTGAGGCTTCTGTCCCCAGCCATGTGGAACTGTGAGTCCAGTAAACCTCTTTCCTGTATAAATTACCTAGTCTTGGGTATGTCTTTATTAGCAGCATGAGAACAGACTAATATACAGATCTTCGGACAATAGATTTCATGAAGAGACTGAAGAGTCTAGTGGCCCAGGTGGCTGAATCTTCTCCCAGCTGAGTTCTTCTTTATATACATCCCATTTGTGACGTATATAAAGATATATACCTTCATGATAAATAAGGTCACAGAGCAGAGAAAAAAGGAAAACTAACCACCTAGTATATGCAGAGAGATACCAAATGCTGCAGTAGATCAAAAAGACTTCCTTGAGCAAGGGGCAGGAGGAGAAAGCCATATCCAGCAGAGATAATCCAGATGTGAAGGTATCAAAGAATCCTTGAGAATCTGGAAAGACAGCCTAGAAAACAGTGTTTCTTCACCTGTAACAGCACTAAGTATGCTAAAATATCCACGTGAGAATTATATTATTTGCTGTTTTAATTAAAGCTGATTGTATTCTACCTTGGAATTGTAACTAATTCTGTTTGCTCTTTAAGAAATTCTTATTTTTTTTTTTTAATATCCTTTGCTTCAGCAGCTGAGATTTCAAGTAAGAGAGATCGGAAAATAATCCCATGTGTTTCCAGTTGGATGAATTGTTTGCTTGTAAAGTTATTTCCTAAGATTTTTTTTTCAATTAACATATTGGATCCTTGAGGAGTACCCTGGATAAATGCCCAAGTTGCTCTTTGGTTAAATAGAATAGCACAAAGTCTGTATCCAGGAAACCCAATTCTCTGATTGCAGAGTGGGTCAAAGCTGTACCTTAATTATTTCTTTTAAAAGTCAAAAGATTTTAAAAATGATTATTAGGGAGTTTTTCTTCCCATTCTCTCTCAGATAAGTATTTTGGCTATGGTGCCTGATGGTTGAGAAAAAAAAAAAAAAAAAAAAAAAAACCAAGAGAAAAAATAAAACCTATTATCAACCACATTTGGGAACCATTAAGAACCACCTAACTTTATTCTGAAATTTCTGCTTCAGGGAGATTACCAAGCATCCAGAGAGAAACAAAATGAGATCCATTTAAGAATATGTGACCTATTGTGACAAATGGAAGTTCTGAGGTGCCCTGGAATCAGAAGAGGTAAATTTTCACAAGCCAAAAAAAAAAAAAAAAAAAGCATATGTTGGGTGCCTGGGGAGGCTTTGGCCTCAACGAATATACCTGTAACTTTTCTATGGCTGTAGCTTAAAATTTGAAACTAAATATTTGAAAGTTGTATGCAATTGCCTCAAAGTTGAAAGGGAAATCAGAGGACAAACAGTTTTTTTTTTTAATTGAAAGGCGTTGCTGTGGCGAACCAGGACTATTACTCTAAAAACAAAGCACATTCTTCCAGATCACCGATTGATAATGTCTGTAAATAGGTAGGGGTAATCTGAATCTAATATGGAAAAGATAAATTTGCCTTTGGTATGAAAAAATAGATGGGAAATTATCACTCTTCTACTGCAAAGTATTCTTACTCCACCAGTTACCATTGATTCATTTATGCATTTATTTATTCTCCCTATTAGGTATTGAACTTATATTCATTTCTAGGCATTGAAGATAAAACAGTAAATCAGACAGACTTAGATCAGTCCTCAAAGTACTTAAAGTCTATCTGTGCCTCTCAAAATTCATGTGTTGAAATCCTAACCCCCAAGGTGATGGAATCAGGAGGTGCGCCTTTGGGAGGTGACTAGATCATGACGGTAGAGCCCTCACCAATGGAATTAGTGCCATTACAACATAGATTCCAGATAGACCCTCATCCCTTCCATCATGTGAGGTACAGCTAGAAGGCACTGTCTATGAGCCAGAACACAGGCTCTCACCAGACACCAAATTCACCAGCACCTTAACCTTGGACTTTCCAGCCTCCAGAACTAGGGAAAATAAATTTATGTTGTTTATAAGTTACTCAGCTTACGATATTTTATTATAGCCTCCTGAATGGACTATGACACTATCTAATGAAGAACACAGATAATGATCTAAGACATAATTGTACCATATAATCCATGCTAACATGGGGGAAGGCCAAGTAGCTCTGGGAGCACTTAGCAAGGCCACCCAGCAATATGTGGAGATGGTGATAGGCTGTCAGGAAATACATTCCCTAAAGTGGCATTTTAGCTGAGGTCTGAAAGTGTGAGCCAGGTAAAGGAGGATTGAAAGTAAAGAGGGCAAGAAAAGAGAGAAAAAAAGGTTCTTATAGTATGTTGGAGAAACTAAAAGAAGTTTGGTATGTCTTCAGTGTAAAGTTTGGGAAAGGGTGGTAGAAAACATGGCTAGAGGAGAGAGAGCAAGTCTTAAAGCTGAGCAGATTTGATACCTGGCTTCTGAGGTCTGTATAGGCTTGGAATCAGATAGAGCTTGGTTTGATTCCCAGTTCTGATCTTTCCCAGCAAGTCATGATACTTCTAAGCCTCATTTTCCTTACCTATATAGTGGGGAATATACCTATTTGATAGGATTGCTTGGAAAATTAAATGATGGAGCATATCTGTACCTGACAGATTGGAGGTATTCAATAAATAGGAGCTACAGCTATTGCTGTTACTATAGTCAAATACAATGGCATTCCAGCAAGGAATAACATATCAGGAAAGCAAGCTCTATCACCATCAGTTTAGGCATCAGCAGAGCTACACATGTTGACATTTTGGGGTGGGGTACCTTCCTGATGTGTCTCACTATCTTATTCTTTTGAGAGTTTAACCCTATCCTTTGTTTCAAGAAAGCAAAGATTTCCTACTGTAAGCAAGTGGAGTCATTTGATATAATCATTCTAGGCATTGTGCCCATCCATTATTACACTTTGTCCTGGTCACTCATGCTGCCTAAGAAGATGCCTAAATTATCATTCATTCCCCCTCTGAGTGGGCAAAAGAAGTAAATGAAATGAACTAATGCAGAGGTTGCTAATACCTATGCTGTTATCTTTTTGTTATCAGCCTTAAGACTCCTTGTAAGCAGGAAAAGAAAAAAAAAAAAAACAAAAAAAAAAAAACCCTAGACAGTTATGAAAGGATGGTTTCTCAAAAAAAAAAGACAGGTCTGTTGAGATTTTTACAGTCCTTCTGATTGCTTTTCACATCACTAGGCTCAAACAAACAGAACCTCTCTGTACAGAGAGGTGGTAGGAGGACACACACAAAGCACTAAAGCTCTCCCTGAGCCAAATGAGAAGCCTGTCATCTCATTTCTTTTAGCCCCTAAGGCTGTGGGCTTGGTTTTACTATGTGAACACTCTAACACACCTGTACTGAGACTTTGCTCCTTGCCAGGTAACTGGGGATCATAGAGATAAAGGACATACTCTATGCCCTCCCGGAGGTCCTTGGTCTGTTGTGGGAGACAAACCAGTGAGCCAGTGTTTGTTTGTTTGTTTGTTTTTCAACGCTGTCTAATGGAAAGTCCCTGTATGAAATGCTTCATATGCTTGATTAGAGTCCCCCAAACCACCCTTTGAATTAGGTAGTATAAACTTCCATTTGTGGATAAAAATAATTGATATTTTAAAGTGGTTGCTAAGCTGGGCATCGTGGCTCACGTCTGTAATCCCAGCACTTTGAGAGGCCAACGTGGGCACAACACCTGAGGCTGGGAGTTCGAGATCAGCCTGGCTAACACGGTGAAACCCCATCTCTCCTAAAAATACAAAATTAGGTGGGTGTGGTGGCATGCATCTGTAATCCCAGCCACTAGGGAGGCTGAGGCAGGAGAATCACTTGAACCTGGGAGGCAGAGGTTGGAGGGAGCCAATATCACGTGCCATTGCACTCCAGCCTGGGTGACAGAGTGAGACCCTGTCTCAAAAAAAAGTGGTTGCCATTGTGGAAGACAGTGTGGCGATTCCTCAAGGACATAGAAATAGAAATTCTATTTGACCCAGCAATCCCATTACTGGGTATATATCCAAAGGATTACAAATCGTTCTACTATAAGGACACATGCACACGAATGTTCATTGCAGCACAGTTTACAATAGCAAAGACGTGGAACCAACCCAAATGCCCATCAATGATAGACTGGACAGGGAAAATGAGGCACATACACACCATGTAGTATTACGCAGCCATCAAAAACGATGAATTCGTGTCCTTTGTAGGGACATGGATGAACCTGGAAGCCATCATTCTCAGCAAACTGACACAGGAGCAGAAAACCAAACACTGCATGTTCTCACTCATAGACGGGTGTTGAACAATGAGAACACATGGACACAGGGAGGGGAGCACTACACACTAGGGTCTGTTGGGGGGAAATAGGGGAGGGACAGCGGGGGGTGGGGAGTTGGAGGGGGATGGCATGGGGAGAAATGCCAGATATAGGTGAGGGGGAGGAAGGCAGCAAAGCACACTGCCATGTGTATACCTATGCAACAATCTTGCATGTTCTTCACATGTACCCCCAAACCTAAAATGCAATAATAAAAAAAAAGTACATTTAGAAAAAAAAAAAGTGGTTACTAGTAACTTCCCCAAAGATAGGTAGTGAGTAGCAGAGCTGGGATAGGGCTGGGGCCATCTTGCTTTGCACTTTATGTCATGCCACCTCCTCATTCCTCACAGTCTGTCAGTGGGTTACTCTGATATGTGGTATTAAGGGGTTACTTACGTACTAAGTACTGTGGAAGAAATGTAGGACCATAGAACACAGGTGCTTTTGACAGAAGGCAGAGAAGGAGGAAGATGGAGTCAGAGCAGCTTGCCAAGGGAGGTGGCCTCTGCTCTGAGGTTTGAAGGCTGAGCAGGGGTTGCCATGTGAAAGTGTGAGGAAAGGAGACATCCTTTGAGCTAGAGTGAGCCACAGTCACACCTTCATGGAGGCTTAGAGAACAGGATGTCTTCAAGGAGCTGCAGGTCACTTGGTACAGCTCCTGGTTATCTGCGACAGCAGAGGGAAAGTGTGTGACAGATGATCTGAAATTTATGTCTGTTTGGCTTCTGCATGTATAATGTTTTTATTTATTTATATCCTGCCTTGTTCCACAAAGGTTTCGAGGAAAAATTTATTATATGTTTTTTATGCAGTGACCTTCCTAATTAAGTTTTTCTCAGCACTGTCATGTTCATCTTTGTATTCCCTGAGCCATATGCAGAGAGACTTGAATAAAAGTTGAATTGAATTTACATACTTTGAGCAGTCTGTAAGCAGTTAGCAAGGGCAACTGGTCCCAGAAGCTTGTGGGTGGAAAGGAAAAATTTTACTGGGCCAAAATGTAAAATTGCTTAGGTTGAGGTACCGTATTTCACAGAATCTAACATACTATTGATGATAGGGTATGCTGTTATTAATACCTGAAGTGCTATTAAAAAAGAAAAAATCCTGTTCATTAAATTACAACACAGTATAAACTCACCATCTATTGTAAGATGTACTCTAATTTCAAATATATTAAATGTGAAAAAAATGTGTTTTTAAAGAGAAAATGCATGGTGATAGTATTACCCCCCACCCCAAATAGTCAGAAATTCTAAAAAGTACTGATACTCTGGTTGACAGTGAGAGAAAATGAAAACTCCTACTCCTTCCTGGAAGGCAATTTGCCAACAACCTAAGCCCAAAAGAGTCTGCAAGCTCTTTGATCCAGCAATTATATCTCCAGGAATTGAGCCTAAGGAAATATGCATAAAACTTTATGTCATCCCAGAATTGTCAATAGTAGCAGAAAATAAGGAATAAACTAAAATCTTCATTGCATACATGATGTTAGAGTTTTACAATAGATTACAACAGATTAAAATGATGCCAAAGCTTTGTGCAGTGGCAATATCATAGCCAGTGAAGTTTATCTGTGGTGCAATTATTGCTAAGTGAAAATTTTCCCAATATCCCGCCATGATGACTTGAAATAAAATGATGCTAAAGAAATATTTAAGTGAAAAAAATATATTGCATTTTAAAAATCAGGTAATAAAATATTTGTTATAAAATAAAACTACGCCTGTGAGAAAATATATTTACATTTCATGTTGACATGGAAATTTAAATCTTGAATGACATATATCAAAATGTTGACCGAGATTTCCTGGATGAAACAATTGTAGTTGATCATTTTATGTTCTAATTTTTCAAAAATTGGAAAACTACTAGTTAGATATAGACCTTTATTTTATTATTATTATTATTATTTTTTGAGACAGAGTCTTGCTCTGTCACCCAGGTTGGAGTGCACTGGCTCCATCTCGGTTCACTGCAACCTCCGCCTCCCAGGCTCAATCAATTCTCCTGCCTCAGCCTCCAGCCTCCTGAGTAACTGGGACTACAGTTGCACACCGCCATGCCTGGCTAAGTTTTTCTATTTTAGTAAAGACGAGGTTTCACCATGTGGACCATGCTGGTCTTGAACCCCTGAGCTCAGGCTAGGCCTTTAAGTAGACAATACACATGTGAATATTGGAAAGCTAACTCCCTTGTCTTAGACACTTTATTTTTTATGAAAAAGGCTCCCGAATCTTTCCTGTTTCATAAATGATTCTGTCCAGGTTCCAGGTGGTTCCAACTGAGGCCCTGGTTAAAAGGGTATGAAAAGATTATTTGATTCCCAATTGGAAATACAGCTTTATCACCTAGAGTTTTCCCTCAAAAGTTGACACCTAAAAGGAGAAAATAAATACTACTACCTTAGGGAGCCAAAGGGTCTGGGGGATGAGGTCTTTATGATGTAATCTTAGCCTGAGGCAAACTGTGGGACCCTGAGCACATGTAAGTCAAGTTCTAGGTCCTGCGAGTGGGAAAGAGGGTGATGAGCAGAAGTCAAACTTAGGCTTCAACTTTTGCCATGGCTTGAATGGTAAGTCCTCATCTCTAAGAACCACACTGCTACAAATTCACAGCTTTTGTTTTGTAAGTCATTTATAATTCTTCTTAAATGTTTTTTCTAAAAGACAAGTTTTTTGGTGGCCGAGACTCCACTTTAAGGGGAAAATGCAACACTGACCGTATCTATTTATGAGGTGAACTGGACTTTCTACTTTGTACAGGAAATATTTTTGAATGGCCAAACATAGAATTCCTGCTTGAATAGGAAAGATTGTAACTGTGTATTCGGTATTTGTATTTTTTCCCCAAATTAGTGAGTTGCCTTTTTGACATTTTTTCAATGTAGTTTTATATTTATTTCTAGCTTGATTTTAAAAAATAAGCTGTTCTTATACTTCCCAACATATATACCTAACTATTCCTTAATTTAAATCTCAGTTCACGTACAAGTTTTATTTTGCAATGAAGTTTTATTTACATGTTTATAGAGCTTGGTTTATCATTGCTTTTTGTCAGCTCTGCAAGGTTTGAGCCATTTGTAATCTTTGAATGTTTACATAGTATCTATCTATCTACATGTATTTTTTATATAATATATGGCAGTTGTCACCTCAAAGGGTAAAACAAAGATTTCAAGTGACACGGACGTCTAGGTCAAGAAGAGGAGTTGGCATTTGGGGAATGAAAGTATGCTTGTGGGTAACTACTGTTTGTCTTTCTTGCATCATTGTCCTCTGTCTCTGACAGCAGAACTCCATGTTGATCCTGCCCCTCCACTTTGTCTTAATTGAGTTACAAGTCTCAGTGCCCCGCCCTCCTGGCTGCAGATCCAGGCCTGGATGATCAGAGCACCACATCTACTTGGCCAGGATAGTTGGCTCAAGTGTGAACAACTATTCCAAATCCAACAGAGAACTTCTCTGGAATATTTGTATATGGACACAGAGAAAGGAGACTTTTTCTCCTTTTTTTTTTTTTTTTTTTTTTTTTGCTTTCATTTTGGATTGTGAACCATAAGAATGCCAGTCAGGAGTTATACCTACTTGTTCTGACCAGATGGAAGAAGTCCAGATGGAAGAACATTTGCTAGGAAAAGAAAAAAAAAAAACAAAAACATAAGGCTACTGCCCAAGGAGAACAGATCTAAAAAGGGAGTACAGTGTCAGACACATATTTAATGAGCCCTTAGAGACTGGATGCCACCTCTACCCTTTGATTTCCCAACAAAATCCATTTCCTTTTTCTTGGTATAAACTTTTTAGAATTGGGTTTTTGTCATTTGAAGCTGCCCAAGTGCTTGACTAATCCTTGGCCCCTTAGTTATCTTCCAGATCATGCTAGGTGCATACATATTCTCTCCATGCATGCATAGTTGGCTGCATTCCACTGAATTCTCTATCCTATGAGCATCCAAACAGGTATGATTTTATTAAATTAGTAATAGCATAGTTACTGTAAAGATAATATGAGTGACTTCAGCCTAGTATCATACTTTCCATAAGCTGTAGCCTTCTCCTAGAAGTATTCCTTGTTGAGTAGTTCCTTGCCCTAGTGTTCAGACTTCAGAACTGAACTAGGACATCTGTTCACCCATGGTGCAATCAGAGCCTCAATTTTTTTCCATTGCTGAAGATCTAGCACAGTCAGAAGGCATGAGTTTCCTGTAGACTTATCTTCTTGGTTCTCAAGATTACCAAAGGCCATTTAAGAAAGAAAATAATTATGAGGCTACATGAAATGCAACAAGATTTTATAGAAATCAAGGCTGACTTTAGAAGGCAGCTGGAAAACAGGATACTCCTCCTCCCACCCTTTCTCCTTCCCAACAAATGCCATATGTCTGCTCACAAAGCATTCTGGCTCACTGCTATGTGGTTGACCTTCGATACTGAAAAAATGCCAGAACACTTGGGACCTAATTTTCCTTTCAGCTCATTGTTACACTCATATTTAATATGGTTGAGGGAAAAAATAAAAATTATGACAAGCTGGCCTGAAATTCTTTAAAGTAGTCCATCAATAAGACAGATGTCTGGATACTTCATAATATTTATGACGGTTCAGAGAAGGATTAGTCTTTGGGGCCCTTGAAAAATGCTCTGCTGCCTAGCGATGTGTTCAGAACCACTTCAGCATTTATATCATCTGTAGAAAAACTAAGAAATATTAGGTTGGTGCAATTACTTTTTCATCAACCTAATAGAATGTTTCCACTTCTTTTTTTCTAAATACAATTAATTCAATTTTAGATTACTATATTGGATACAGAACAGTTAATAGTGGAGTTTGCTATTCCATGTGTGGCATGGTAGAATCATGAGCCTTTTATAGCATCTCAATAGCAAATGAAATTTCTTCCCCAAATTAAGATAGCTTTTGTGTTGGTTTCTTAGGGCTGCCATAACAAAGTACCACAAACTCGGTGTCTTAAAATGACAGACATTTAGTGTTTCACAGTTCTGGGGACTAGAAGTCTGAAATCAAGGTGTTAGCAGGGCCAACACCCTCTGAAACCTGTAGAGGAGAACCTTTCTTTGCTTCTTCCAGGTTCTGGTGTTTGCTGCCAATCTTGGCATTCCTTGGCTTATAGTTGCCTCATTCCAGTCTCTGCCTCCCTTGTTGCATGGTCACCTTCTTCCTGTGGGTCTCTCTTATGAGTACATCAGTTATATTGGATCAGGGCCCACTCTAATTCAGTATGACCCCATTTTAACTTGATTTTGCTGACTGCATGTGCAAAGACTCATTTCAAATAAGATGACTTTCTGAGGTACTATGAGTTAGGACTTTAACATATTTTGGGGAGAACATGATTCAACCCTTAACAGTTAAATTATTGCCCGATTATAAAACTAATACATGCTTATTGTAATAAAGAGAGGTACAAAGAAGAAATTAAAAATCATCCAGATTCCTCCCACCAAAAATAACCATGTTTACAATTTGGTGGAGACGATCCAAGATGGCTGAATAGGAACAGCTCTGAAGTGCAGTTCCCAGCAAGAACACAGAGGGTGAGTGATCACTACATTTCCAAATGAGTTTTTACTGCCCACAGACCAGGAGATTCCTGGGCAGAAAAGCACCACGAGTCTCCAGCACGGCTGTTTCAGCTGGCACAGCGGGTCTCCACACAAAAACTTACACAAATCTAGGAGGCTGTTTCAACTGGCGCCTGGAATGTCTGGGAGACAGAGTCACCCATTCAACTGAAAAAAAAAGTCACCCATTTTGGGGGCTGAAACAGGGAGTCAGGTGACCTGGCTCAGCAGGTCCCAGCCCACAAAGATCAGCAATCTGAAATGATCTGGATTGAGAGTTTCACAGCAAGCACAGCTGGACCCAGGATGGTCCAGTTCTGTGAGGGGAATGGCGTCTACCATTACTGAGGCAGTCCGCCATCACCGAGGCAATCCACCACTACCCAGGCAGTCCGCCATTACAGAGACAGTCTGCCATTACTGAGGCAGACCACCATAAACGAGGCAGTTCCAACTATACCTCTATAAACAAAACTACAAGGAAGTTGATACAGCAGCAGGACAGAGCCCACAGCAGCTCAGCAATGCCTCTGCTGCGAGACTGTCACTAGGCTACCTCGTCACTGGGCAGGCCATCTCTGAAAAAAGGCAGCGGCACGTCAAGAGCTTATACATAAAATCTCACCTTCCTAGGACAGAGCACCTGGGAAAAAAAGGTGGTTATGAGTTCTGCTGCAGCAGACTTCAATGTACCTGCCCAGCAACTCTGAACAGAACAACGGAGCTCACAGCTGAGCACTTGAGCTCCTATAAGGGAAAGACTGTCTCCTCAAGCAGCTCTCTAACCCCAGTATATCCAAAGAGACACCTCATAAAGGAGAGTTCAGGCTCACATCTGGCAGATATCCTTCTGGGACAAAGGTAACAGAAGAAAAAACTGGCAGCAACCCTTACTGTTCTGCAGCCACTGCAGATGATCCTCAGGCAAGGAGAGTATGGAGTAGACCTCCAGCAGTCCTACAGCAGAGCGGCCTGACTGTTAGAAGGAAAACTAAAAAACAGAAAGAAATAACTTCATCAGCAACAAAAAGGACATCCACTCAGAGACCCCATCTGAAAGTCACCAACTACAAAGACCACAGGCAGATAAA